GGTTGCTTTACTTTCACATATAGTTTTATATAGCTTGCGTCAGACACTCTGTATACATAAGGAAAATAAAAGAATATACTACACGTAGGAATGTCGTCTTTACATTAAAAAAAAATTGATCTTAAGTTTTCAGACAACCTAATATATCAATATTTATTTTCGCGAAATAAGTAACACTGTGGAACAATGTGGAATCTTCTACATCTGATGTTATCTAGTAACTGGTTACTTGTATAACTGGCAAGCAACCCGGTTGAAATGAAGTTTATAACAAGATAGTAGAAATAATAATTTGGTGCTGCATATGCGCGTGCGCGTCAGCGCAATAATTATACATTGAAGCAGAAACATTAATTCGCATTCGTTACAATATAAATGTCCTCACTTTACATATTTTATTATGTTTATTATATTTATTTATTTATCCTTATTCTGCAATTCATTATGAGTCTGCAATTTAAACTCTTAGGATTTTATCGATTAAACGAGAGCGTTATAAGCAGGTGAAGTTCAATCATAATTATATGGCAAATTCTGTGTTCCAAAATAAATATCTGCAATATGCATGGAAAAAAAGAATTTGCTGCATATGGATATATGTAAATAGTTTGCTGCTACATGTGGACAATTAAACGTAATTCGCTGTGCCAGCTGCATTTTCTTCTGCAGGAACCTATTTTCTTGCTATGATAACAAGAAAACCTGCTTCTATAGCAAAAAAGTGGCTAACGCAGCAAATTATGTTTAGTTATATGTAGCAAATTTTTTCCGTGGTAAAAAACTTTATGTTCCTTGCCTTATGGAAAAAAAACTGCAAGAATACGAAAAAACTATTGATATGCTATTGAAAAAGTAGTAAATTGTAGTTCTTTAATAGTATGCCAGTAATTTTTTTGTATTCCTACCCACACAGAATAAAACTTCCATTGGATGTCCATTAGACTTCCATTATGAAGATTCAGAACCTTTAATAGACGTCCAAAGAAAATCCATAAAGCCTCCACTCAACATCCAAATGTCCGCATCTTGGACCTCCATTGGACCTCTCTTGAACTTCCAGTGGACGTTCTAATAATATTACACAGTAATATTACAATATCTCAGTAATATTGCATAATTTCACTCAGTGAAAAATGAAGTATTATTTTGTCTAAATAACAAAAAAAAATTGGCATTTCATATTTTGTGTCGTTTCATTTATTCCTGAGATTCACATGGATTCGATCCCGTGTCAGACGGCACCCATCTTTAGATGACTATGCTCTTCAATACTTAAACCTCAACGATCGTCGGGAACTAGTAATACTACTGCGCTGTGACAATATCTTGGTGGATCGCATTTACAATATACTTTTATAGCGTTCAAAAATATAATATAATATAATGACATATTTGTCAATAAATGTTTCAAAGGATGTAATAATAATCACAATGCGATTAATATTGATACAATGTTATATAAGTAATCAAACTTTAACATACAACGTGTTCGCGAAAGAGAAAAAATATTCTTTCCTTCTCTTTTGCAATATTTTGACAGAGTAATTATTCTGTAATTGAGTTTTCAATTGAGCTGGATTTTCTCAGCTGGATTTTTCAGTAGAGCAGGTAGAACACAAAGTCATATAAAAATAAAAATGACGTCAAATGATATTAAAGTAATGTCATTTTGACGTCAAGCGATACCATTTTCATGACAATTTCATGACATTGATATTAAAATGATATCAGTATTGTGAGGGATCTATG